GGTGGGGGTGTGGGTGGGTTGATGGGGAAGGCTGAAAAAGGGGTAAAAAAAAAATTTCAAAAATGAGTTAGCAAAGAAAATATTTTCCTTCGTACCAAACACACCCATAACCTAACTCTAATATTAGAGTTTTGAGGGACAACTAAGATATGATTAGCATATAAATAAATTTTTCTCACCCAATAACATGGCGACCACCGTCATGAACGGCTTGTGAAACCAAACCCATTAGGCCTATGCTCCCTCCTCCGTATACTAAATCAATATTCCTTGAGACCTTTCATTAGACAATATCAAGATTCAGAAAATCACAGGATTGACAAATTAAAGTTAAGTAATTTCACTTAAAGTCAAAAAGCATAATCACATTGTTTAGTGATTGTGAAAAAGGTAAAATGGATTATACCATTGTTAATCAAACAAATGTACTTTTTAGTGCATATGTTTCATCTGCTCTTATATGTTATGAAGAAAATAAGAGAGCATAAATGCAAAGATTGTACAATTTAGAGAATAAGAGAGAAAAGGGCCCCCAAAGAAATAGGAGAATGAGATAAAAAAAACCTGTAGATGAAAGTAACTGGAAGTATAGATTTTATAAAAGCTAGCACTAGAAGCTGAAAACCTTGTTATATTTCCCATGTGCAAAACTCAAAGCAACTTGCAGAAAAGAATGAATCTTGACATGAGTGGTATGCTAAACACACACACACACACACACACACACACACACAACTCAAAGCAATTTGCAGAAAAGAATGAATCTTGACATGAGTGGTATGCTAAACACACACACACACACACAACTCAAAGCAACTTGCAGAAAAGAATGAAACTTGACATGAGTGGTTGTCAACACACACACACACACAAAAGAAACAGAAATGCTTTGTATTTTAGAGAAATACAAGAACTGCATGTAAGTCCTCTGCTTAAAGAACAGCATATTGCAGAAAAATTAGAGAAAATAGAGCAAAAGGGGAACAATCAACCCAAAATTCCAATCAAAAAACTTGACATTTACTTTAAATTAAGACCCCATCATCATGGAAAACACAGGGACCTAAAAAAGAAACCATCTTTATGCAGAAACCAGAATGAGATAAAAGCAAAAGGGTTAAAGTTAAAACCAAGAAAAAGAAAAAGAAAAAGGTCTATACCAATTCTTTGCCAAGCTGAATGGCAGCATCTTGATAGCTACTTTTCTTGCCTTGACTACTCCCACAAAACACACAAATCCTCTTGAATTTTGATACCTTAACAACATCACTCTCCCTCTCCATATTTTTTGTGTTTTGCCCCTTTTCTTATAACACTGTTCCCTTTATGTTATAGAAAGAAACCTCAGAATATTGCTAATGCTATTATTCTCTTTGCATATGCTGAGAGAACAAGCAATATATAGAGAGAGAAGCCAACTAAAGACTGGGGATTTATAGATACTGCCTCAGTTCCAATTTACGTGAATCTATTTGACTGGGCATGAAGTTTAAGAAAAAATGAAGATTTTTGAAAATTGTGGTTATAAACAATTGACAAAGGGGCCCGAAGTATTTGTGTGGTTATAAAAACTTCTCATTAAGAATAGAATTGTAAGTTTAAGCAAAATTGTTTCCAAATTTAAAAAGAATTATTCAGACTAAAAAAAAAATAGGTTCACATACACTAAATCGGAGGCGTATCTGTTTTGTATCCTTACATATACGACCATACGGGTACCACAGAAGGAAATTGCCTAGACCTTTTTGGCTTTTTAGCTTTGACACCCTATTGGCCACACCAAAATGGTTCTATGTATAAGCCGCATTCCACGTCACCCAACACTTAACTCACTTGTTTTATACTCGGTCTCGCACGGGACCATTTATTTTTAATGATACACGTGTTTTTGCGCATCTTAACTATTTTATCAGTATGTTTCGAATATCTGCTTAACAAAACTTATCGTTTGGATGGTTGTTGTATGGGTGAACTTGGTCCATAACCGATAGTGGAATGATAAAGTGACACGTAGAATCAAAGACAGATAAAAAATGAGTTAATAAATAACTGGCACCGGATACAAAGTATGTAACTGGTACAGGATGAATCCCGAAAGAAGCATAGTCGATAATAGAAATTCAAAAGTTTGACATCGGAAGACATTCAATGAGCAGCCGTTACAGAGAATATCTGCATTCAAAGCCAGCCGTTATGCACCTATCAATGACGCATTTATTCTAATTCAAGAAGAAACTTGATTTGAAGATCTTATTTCCCTCAACATGGCTATAAATAGGAGGGTTAACAATCATTGTAGGACAAAAAAATATTCTGCACACAAAGCTGTACTTCACTATTTTACGCTCGATCTAATAGTTTTATCATTGCTTTCATTTCTGCTCTCGGAAAGACCGAGTACAGAGCCAGGCTCGTTATCTTCTTTATTTTCAGTCGTTAATCTTATTTTTTGCTCTATTTCTTTATCATTTTTTTTATCAAATCAGTTCGCTTGTCTATAAATCACGCTATAAATTCAACTGTACCGTTTTACGGGTAAACAATTGTTATGCATCGTTTCATAATATATCGTATTGTATTGTATTGTATTGTATTGTACTGTATTATTTTGACGTATACAATATTTGGATAGATTGTATTGTTTGCTGTCATTTCATAATGTCATGCACCAATAATATGAAGAATAAACTTGCAATATTACAAAGAAAAAGTAAGGTACGAGGTAGAATTATTATATAAAAAGGTAGGGTAAAGGATAAAATAAGATTATTTAATAATAAAGAAGCAAGATGAGAGAATAAAATAAGGTAACGACGCCATTATACCAAATCGATCGTTACATAAAATGACACTTTTCGTTGTTATGTAATAATGGAGTTGACGATGCGATACAATAAAATTTAAGTAACAATCAAAACAAATATTATATTTAAATTAATAGTACGATACAATATAATAGGTAAAAACCATCCAAACAGGTTGTTAGACAAATAAAAAAGTTACCTAACATTTTACTTTTTTGGAATTTGAAATTAAAACCTCATAGTTCAGAATGAGATTAAAACCTTAGGTGCTAGCACGAGTGGACCATTGCATTTCTTCTACTAGTATAATTTTCTTTGGCATTTAGTCTTCAGAATTGTAATAAAAATCTCTTCACATATGAAAAAGAAAAGACTGAGTTTTTAAAGTTTGTAATTTGATTTTCTCTAAATTTAAATGAAACCGGTTAGATTTCAGGTAAAATTAAATTATAATATGGTAAATTGTGTGACCATCTCATTCTCATCTCATGGGCATTTTTATTTTTCTAGATATGTCTTTTAACTTGCAAGATTGATTTTTCTCTTAAATCAAACAATAATTTTTTTTAAGCGAGTCAAATTAAACTTCGAACCAAAGATCATTTTATATATAATTATAAAATTTTCAGAAGATGAACATGTGATCTTTTGTCCATTCGGATAACCTGTAAGGGGAGTTGCATGGCGTAGAGTGAAGATTTGGGGGAGTAGAAAAAAATTTCTTAAAGGGTATTCCAAAGGTATAACCTAGGCAACAGAAAAGGAACCCCAATATTATAACTACAGTATCGACCGAGTTAGAATAACCAACAATGTCGTATCGAATTTTATGACTACTTAGCTTTATATAAAAGTATTTATGAGAGAAATAGAAAGAGTAGAACTTCTGATTTATGTCAATCTTGAATATTCTCATAAGTCTTATCACAACCGCTATGTACAGTTTTCCTTAAATGTGGTTGACCACAGTCAACATGTACAATCTTACTAAAAGCATAAATAATTAGAGAATATTGTAACCCTACCAAGAGAAACATTGGTATATATTGTAAAGAAATATTGCATAAGTATATTACTACTACACAAATGAGTATTTTGCAGAATTTTTTTCCATCTCATAAGAACTTAATAGAACCATATAATGCAAAAATATAACTGGAGACGAGAACTAATTTTTTTATTAAGGGCTGAAGCCGAGAACTAATTATATTTGGGCAAAGACCATTTTTAGTCCGCGGCCAAAATTATTTATATCCAATAATCACAAAAATATATAAAATTTATATACAACATACATAAATATGTGTGTGTGTGTATATATATATATATATATATATAACAATCCAACCCCTTAATTTTAGTACTTGTATTTATTATGTGGTCAATATTAAAGAATACTAAACATATCACGTTTGTGATATGTCTTGTTTGAGCATATTGTTTTAACAAAATTCTTACTATTTTTACCTCAAATTCGAATAAGTCTTATCCTTCTACATTTTCACCCAAAACAAACCTCTCTTTAATCTTTGCTTATAGTTATTGTATTATTTATTACTTAATAATATAATATTCATGTGATCTTTTATTAGCTTACCAATTGACTTAATATCTTTCTTATTACCCTTTTGATAAACATATATAAATATAATTTTTTTATTCCTAAAATTTAATATATTTTTGAATTTTTATCCTCTTACTCAGAACTTTTTTTGTCATTTAAATCTATCAATAATATTTTTGAGTATTATTTAATTATTTAATATACTTATACTTAATTAATTCAAAGTCTAAATATTCTCACACTATCTCTATTTTCCTTTTTATACATCCTCTTCCCTACCATAAATTTTTAATTAGTTTCTTACAATAATATCACATTTCATTTTAAGTTATATCTTTGAATTAGTTTAAAATATTATTAGACAAGTTTTTTAATTATTATATTTTTAATCTATTGAATTTTCTTATAATTATTTTTTGTATCACGTGCAATTAATTTTTTTAATTTATACCCTTTTTTAATTTTCGTTAGTAAAATTACCTACATGAGATATTTATTTTGTATTTTCTTAATTTTAATTTGTTATCCAATTGTTAGTTTTTTATCTAGTAAAACATTAATTTCGTGGTCCTATCCATAGTTTGAATGTTTTCACCTTAATTTTAATCTAATCTCAAATTCAAATCGTCTTTCCCTTCTATTTCTAACATTAAATTGTAATGACCCAACCGGTTATTTTGACTTTTAGAACCGGTACTACGGGGTGGTACCAAGGAAGTTACTATTGGCGCGGATGGTGTTCTACGACTCTAGGATCGTCTATGTGTTCCTAATGTGGATGGACTAAGGAAAAATATTCTAGAAGAGGCACACAATTCTTGGTATTCTATTCATCTAGGTGCTACGAAGATGTATCGTGACTTGAGGCAGCATTATTGGTGGCGGCGGATGAAAAAAGACATAGTTGAGTATGTAGCTGGGTGTTTAAATTACCAGCAAGTTAAATATGAGCACTAGAGGCCAGGTGGCCTACTTCAGCAGATGACTATACCAGAGTGAAAATGGGAACGCATTACTATGGACTTTGTAGTTGGGTTGTCGCGGACTTTGCGGAAGTTTGATGCAGTTTGGGTAATTGTCGACAGGTTGACCAAGTCGCCACACTTTATTCCGGTTGTGACTACGTATACTTAGGAGAGATTGGCTCAGATTTATATTCAGGAGATAGTTCATTTGCACGGTGTGCCAATCTCCATCATATCAGATAGAGGCCCTCAATTTACTTCACATTTTTAGAGAGAAGTACAAAGTGAATTGGGGACCCGTGTAGAGATCAGGATAGCCTTTCATCCGCAGACCGATGGGCAGTTGGAGCGGACAGTTCAGATTTTGGAGGATATGCTCAGGGCATGTGTGATTGACTTTGGAGGCCAGTGGGATCGTTTCTTGCTTTGGCCGAGTTTGCTTATAACAATATTTACCAATCCAGCATGGTTCCATTTGAGGCTTTATATGGTCGGCGATATTATTCGCCCATCGGATGGTTTGAGCCCGGTGAAGCTAAGTTACATGGTACTGATTTGGTAAAGGATGCCTTGAAAAAAGTAAAATTAATTCAGGAGCAACTTCGTACAGCACAGTCCAGGCAGAAAAGTTACGCGGATCAGAAAGCGCGTGATTTATCGTTTATGGTAGGTGAAAAAGTTCTTTTAAAGGTATCGCCGATGAAGGGAATCATGAGATTTTAGAAAAAGGGCAAATTGAGCACAAGGTTTATAGGCCCATTTGAGGTGTTAAGACGAGTTGTGGAGGTTGCTTACGAGCTTGCTTTGCCTCCCAGTATATCGGGAGTTCAGTTTTCCATATATCTATGCTCCATAAGTATCATGCCGACGTATCACATGTGTTAGACTTCAGTACGGTTCAGCTAGATGAGAGTTTGGGTTATGAAGAGGAACCAGTTGCCATTGTTGATAAACAGGTTCGCCAGTTGAGATCCAAGAAGATTACTGCAGTAAAAGTCCAGTGAAGGGGATAACCAGTCGAGGAAGCGACTTGGGAGGCCGAGCAGGACATGCAGAGCAGATATTCACACTTATTCAGCACTCCAGGTATAATTCTAAACCCGTTCGAGGACGAACGTTTGTTTAAGAGTTGGAGAATGTAATGACCCAACCGGTCATTTTGACTTTTAGAACCCCGTTCCCCTAAATAAAACTCCTCGTATGTTCTTTTATTAATTT